AAAAGGGGGGAAGGGGGAAGAACCAGGTGAGCAGCAGTCTGGCAAGCAGCATTGTCGGGAGCATGGGTGCCCGTGGCGTGACCCAGGTCCTACCCCAGGGGCTGCTTTACATTTCATAAAACCACAAAGGTGCTAGGTTTTGCATGCAAGCTGCAGCACAAGCCCAGCTGAACACTAGAGGGAAGAGTTTTCCAGGACTAATTTGGCTACAAGACTTCCAGATAAACCAAAGACAAACACCCCGCGATAAATACACAATGAGCAGATCAAAGCCTCTGCTCTTGCCTCCATATTTTGTTACACACTTCGAGGGAGGCAGAGACAGCGAAACTGTCACATCTCATCACCGATCCACTTCTGGGTGTGCTGACAAGCCATTTTAGAAGACTAGCACAAGGATGAAATGCTGCTGTGAGCTGATGTGAAGCCTTCCCATGCTTAAGCAGAACGAGCAGGGACTCCTCAGACACTGTCACAGCGGCTGCGGATCCTTTCCAAGGACTCCCTGAGCCTCCATGAGGATCACAACGCCGGCATGCTGTGTAGATTACGTGGACCACCTTGGGGAAGGTGCAGGGTGCCCCACAACAGACAGGAGATGTGTTTTCATGCTGCTGTTGCTCAGCTTTGGCTTCACATCGGCTGTCACCAAGCACAATACCCCTGCACAGCTTCATCAACCCAGGTTTCAAAGCCACTTGCAAGCTGCAGTGTGAGGAGGTCACCCCCGTGCCTGGTACCTACCAAGAGCAAGAGCAAACGAGGGAGGGATGTGGTTCACTACGGCCTTGTGCTCAGGAGAGCTACAGTGGGGCAGGATCTGTCCCAGGAGCCTCTGTTAGATAACGCTGCTATGCCCAGAAAAGCCAAGTGCAATACGGCAAACCACTGCCTAAACGAACAACACCACAACGCGTCTGTCTGAACAGCAGCCAGATTCATAGCAGTAAAACAGAAGAATTCAGAGAAATGAGGGTCAAGTCTGATTTGCCATCTAACATTTCCCAACAGCCAATGCTTTTTGTCCTACAGAGCAGAAATTCCTAACAGCCATTTGGTCTCCAGTGGGTGCCCGTAAAAATAAGTGACCTTGCTTTCCCAGCTCAAGTTCTCTTTGTAGCTCAGTGATCTCTCCATACTTGTTTTTTCTCCCGCCTCTGGCTTAGTGCTCACGAAATACAAAAGCATTTACTTGCTCCAAAAGAAAGTCATCTTAATTTGCTCATTGCAAACTTATCTGAAAGGAGAAATTCCTTATTTTTCTCAGCTACTGATCTGGCCTCCTTTACCAAGGACCACAAACCCACGCAGAACAAAGTCTGCTGCTCACTCCACTCCTCAGCAGGTCGATGTCCTCATTACAAGGGTAAGAAGGGCCATGACCACAGCTGGGTGCCTGGCTGACCTGCTAAGAGCCAAAGAGGCTTGGATCCACCATCTCGCCCAGAAAAGGGGTCAGCTCAGGGCTCACGCACCACCCGCTCAGGAGCGGTACCTGCGAGGGGAAAGGCACTGCCAGGGAGCTGCTGTGTGGGGGGCTTTGCCCTCTCCATCCAGCCAGGCACGCTGACAAACCAGCACAAGAGGTGAGTTTAGTCCATTTTCAGTTGGGCTAAGGAATTCCCCCCCCTTCTTCCAAAAAGCACCAGCTCAGCACTGCTTACAGCGAGGCAGGAGGCACAGAGCCTGGAGCTTGGCACGGCTTTCCCAGCAGCAGGAGAAGGCAGGCTCTGTGGTCATCGCTGCCGCCCCAGCAGTACTCAAAGAAGGTGCAAACCGAGGTTGGTTCAAGTCCCCTCCAGCCAGGTTCCTCATGCTTTGAAAAGGCAACTCAGTCAGCACCTGCTGCCACAGAATTCAAAACCCAAAAGGGTTTTACAAGTTGTCATATTTCCAGTAATCAAGAGCCAACACCAATACTGTGGAGTCCTAAGAAAAGGGCACTTGGGTCTATCTCCCTCCTTCTCTCTTCTTCCCTTGAAAGTTCTTTAATTTTTTAAATTATTACTGTTTTTATTTTGATTTCATGCATGCCTTTGAAACCCACAAACTGGAATCCCACGGTTACAAGTGATACCCAGGGCACCATTCAATTATCTTGCTGTTTTCCTTTCTCCGATTTTGAGCATTGGCACCAAAAAGCTGTCTAGGTCTAGAATGAGCTCATCCCTTTCTATTAAGGAGAAAGGACAGAAAAGTTTGGAAACAAGAAACAAGCAAGATATGAAATGCTACTGAACTGTGTCTAATCCAGCGCTCCTACAGCGCCTTCCACGCATCTACTTCTGTGCAAAGGCCACAGGCTGTGACACACCGCGTTACTGCCAAATAAAGTGAAACACAACTAGCTAGAGAATGGAAGTCATGTCCCCTCTCCTTTACTCACCCAGTAAAAGGAAGTAGCCATAGAATCATAGAATAGTTTGGTTGGAAGGGACTTTTAAAGGTCATCTACTCCCGCAATAAGCAGGGACATCTTCAACTAGATCAGAACCGTGTGAGGTTTCTCTCTCCACTCTTACTTTTACACAAATAATGTTTATGTTGGGTTGCAGGCAAAATCCCAGAGCAACATTATTCTCTCTTTAAAGACGTTAACTATTGGAGTGTCATCCCACTGAATGTGACAGGCATGCAATGTCTCTTTGACACCGGTCCACATGTTGGAAGTCTTTGCTGGAGCTGGGATTACGGCCAGAGGAATTCTGTGCTTCAGACAAGACAGTGAACTCACATGCACACACATAAAATGCACCTCCTTCTCAGGTCATCCTGACCACAGAGTTATTTCTCATCTCCAAAAGTAAAACTTAACAAGAATGTGCTGAAATAAGGCAGTCAGTAGAAAATAATTTTTCTAATAAGGCTACATGCATTTTCACCCCCGTGGAATACAGCTGGATTTCTCCCCATCTCTGAAGTGTTCCCAAATGCAAGACCCAGCGAAGCCAACAGGCAAATCCTACCTTGGAAGCCAAGCAGCAGAGGCTCAAACCAGCCTGAAGCATCCCCACTGGCCAGTGACCCGTCTAGGACGTGTCAGCTCACGAAGGGCAAGCAATTAGCCACCGCTCGCAAACAGCACACGCTGGCTGGAAGCCATCCAGGGACAACAGCCAGGGAGCCCCGGGATGCCCACGGCAGCACACAGCTGTGCCGTCACTTTCCAGGGCAGGGCTGTGGTTTAAATCAATAAATCACCTTCTCATCCGATACAAATGCAATTTTATTCATCATATTTATGTAATCTATTTATCTCCTCCTTTTCCCGGGTTAAACCCAATGGAAAGGCAACCCCTGCCAGGTCATACACGCTTCCCACCTACCAGCCAGGCAGCCACATTTCGTCTACTTAGAACCAGTTCTGAGGAAGATTCTATCTCTCTGGCTGTAATTAAATACCCTAGACAACTGGCCATGAGCTCAGCCAAACAAATATTGTATTACAGTACAGTGGAAGATTTTGTTTACAAAAGAGCTTTAGCCAGAAGGGATTTTGTAAGCTTTACACTAAAAGCAAGATTCATTATTGAAACCATCATACAGATTCAAAAGTCTGCCCAGCACCTGATGCCCTGCCACTGGTGTGCTAAAGCAAAGGTGTAACTGAGCCAGGCTCCTACAAAACCCTCGTTGAACTAGTTTCAGAGGCTGAGCCAGCAGAGCACGCAGCAAAGTGTTACCTCTGATACACCTTTCATCTCCATGGGCTCCATTCTTCAACTGTAAAACAGGGGCCACCAGCCACGTAAAGCTCCCCAAGAGGAAAGCCGGGCTCAGGTGTGCTCACACGGCTGCGGACGCGAGTCAGTGCACACTACCTCTGCTCAGCCACCGTAACCACGCGCCGTCGCCAGCCTGGAGCAGGTAGAAAGCTGCCTGGGGTTTGCCGACACCCCACTTCACTCTGCGCGCACGCTGGCCCCCAGGCACAAATGGTTCATGTGTCCTGGGAAGGGGGTGCAGCACCGTCCTACACACATCTTTAGGGAGTGTCAGGAAGGCACCTTGATGTCCTGGGAGATGCAGAAATGCAACATAATCCCCTAGGACCCAGAAAAGATCAATGCTCTCCACTTGCTTATTCATTTCCATGTGCGTGCTTGTGTGAGGCCACCACACCATGAAATCCAAGATGTTCTCACAGTGTGGTAAGAAGGGAGATGAGAGCAAAGGGATAAAATTACTTCAGACGGGACTATTTAAGTGGAAGTTTAGAAATATAAAAAGTTTGCGTGCACACAAAGTTCTCATCTCTGCACAAGTACAAAGGATTTATTTTGGTACTACCCAAGGACCACATTAAAGGCAGCCACAGGGAGATGAGAAAAGTAGGGAATGCAGAAGGAAAGGAAGAGAAAAGCTTTGTGGGACCACCAGCACCAAGGGGAATCATGCAAAAGCTTTCCTCCAAACATATTTCTGGGAACACGTAATACTGGCAGCGTGCCAAGAGACAAGAGTTTATTAAGGGAAAATTTTTGGATTCCTGATGAAGTCAGCGTAACAGCCACCACGGTTACAAACAGCCCACTGCAATGAGAAGCCAGGCGCCTGCTCTGGAGTGGGGCCAAGGAAAAGCAGGCCAACAGCCCCAGGTGGCAAGGGCAAACAGCAGGGACTCCGCGAAGGGGAACTCTACCCGCCAGGAAAGTCCGATAGAGCTGCATGTAGACAACAGCCAGAGAAGAGAGCACTCCCTAAATGGAATCCAGGGGATCCCCGGTTACTGCAGGGTCCCAGCTGCCCTGCTTGACCCCTCTGTAGGCTGATCAGCATCTGCCATCTGAAAGGAACCACCTTGCTGCTAAAAGACTGCTCTGAAAGATAGGAAATTCCTGCAAAGAAAAGAAGAGATGCTGCTGCCACTAATGACCTTTGAAGCCTCCGGCAGCTCCCTGGAAGCCAGCTGGAACAACCAAAAGTGTGTCAGAAACCTCCTTCGAGCTGCAGGAATACCAGCAGTAGCCGGTTAAGTAACCCACTGCCCCTAAGGCAGAATAGCTCATGCATAAAGAAGCAACCCCAGCTAGACCCTCTCACGACCCACTTTTAGGATTCCTATGACCTTGAAAATTTCTCACCATATTTACGTTTTCAGAAAATATTGTGATTTCCTGTCCAGATCGCCTGACTCTACCAGCAGTCACAGCTCACGCGCTCCCTGCACGCCAGCACGCACAGCCAGCACTCCTCTTCAGCCCTTGTGTCCCCCGCACTGACCACCCCCTGAGGAAGTTTGCAGCTTTGGTGGCTCTCAGCCTCTCTGTCCCTGCTGACAGGTCAGGACAGAAGAGATGGCTCCGCAGTTTTCACAGTTCAACTGCAGGAGCTGGAACACATCCTTACCTGCACACCTGTAAAGAAGAGCTAATAAAGTTGCAGATGATGGCTTTGATAAATATGAGCTAATCCGGGTAAGATTCTTACAGTGATGGATACTCTAGACTTTACACAGCTATCTGTAAAACAGGTTTTTCACCTGCCATTTTTCAGGAAAGCCAGTCAGAAAACAAGCACAGGACCTCAGCAACCAGCAGGGCAGACAACATTTTACCAGAGTCCTAAAAATGGCTCAGCTGGCATGCAGGAAGAAGTCAGCACTTACATGGAAGGAACAAAATCTTCCACATGACAATCAATATTAAAAGAAGCATCACAACTTCCAGAAAGAGCGACCATGGACTCCAATCCCTTACCTTGCTATCCAGCTTCTTCATTGTCACCAGGTCCAAGGACTTGAGCGAGTGCCCCGTTGGAGTGATGAAGTACAGGCAGACGTGAATCCTTGTGTCATGATAGTTGAAGAGAGATCGGCGGATTTTCAGCTCTTCTTGCAAATAATTTTCAAACTGCGTATCAATGTACTCAACTATCGGCCTGTAACTAAAACCATACCATTAGCAACCCAGATACTGGAGTTCAAACAGTTTACAGCCTTAAGGAGTTCTCCTAGACATACCACGATATCACTTAAGAAGTCATTATAAGACTCAAACAATTCAGCTTTACAACAGGAAAAGTGTGGCATTTACACACAGACCTTATAATCCAAAGGTTGCTGGAGTCTCCTGAGGCTGCACTGCAAAGCCTAAGGACAGTGGAGCATGGAAAAGACGACTACTTCCCCAGATCAAACTTTGCCCAGATCTCAGGGCTGAGCCATCTGGCTGTAGCAATGCAACATGACCAAGGAGAGACCTTGGAGTCCCAGAAAGCCTTTACCTGGGGCTTGAACAAGATGTCTGTATAATTAAATGAGACAGGTCCAGAGACACCAATCATTGCCAGAACAGATAATTCCCAGCCCTGCGCTGAGGAAAGCTTGTTAACTACTCACGCTCCTGGAGGACACCATTCTCTGCCACAGAGACCTCCTATGACCTCTCTTTTTGGCTCCTCACCCAACTCCCTCTACACTCAGTCCCCAGAACCAGAGCCACTGCAGGGAGCTCCTCCATTAAGAGAAACACGGACACCTCCTCTGCAACACTGCAAGCAGAACTGCAGGCAGTTCACGTCTAAGCATCAGAGGCAAGCCCAGGAA